ACCGCTCTTAATGTAAATGGGAATTCTGGCTCCAACAGCCAGGCCACCCAGTCTGCCTTCAAATTCATGTTATTCCAGCACCAAATCAGGGTCTGCTTCTATTTATGCACAGGGGTGCAGGTGGGGGCCGTCCTCAATGCAGTTCAGTATTTTAGGCTCGTGCAGGAAGCCGTAACCCGGCCCGCTTCCAGCTGCATTTGAAGGCCACAGGAACACATGGATCGAGGCAGTTATTTTCCTAACAGCCAGACTCAAAGAGTGTCTTGAGAAAGTGTTTTAAATAACATTTCCCCCCTAAAATGTTGAAAGACTCAAAGATACATAATTAACAAAATAAGTGAGGGCATTAAAATAAAGCAGAAAGTAATTCTTTCTTTCACCGGTGCCCCAAGTTTAAATGACAAATTTCCATGCAACGGTTTATACTACCGTTAACATCCCAAGGAACTACCACAAATGCTTGTTCAGTCCTTAATTCAATAGCTATCGACTGCATTCTACTTTCAAGACCCTGTGACAGACAATGTGGGAGAGAGAATGGTGACCAAGCTCGGCTCTTGTTTATAAAGTGAATCACGAATGCCGTAAGTGAGGGCACGGCTGGTTTTCAGCTGGAGGCACTAGGAGAAGCTCCGGAGACAGTGTCTGACCTGCTCCTTGATGGAGGAGCAACCTTCGCAGGTAAATCAGAAGGGAAATACAGATGCGAGACACTGTGTAAGCAAGAGTGATTAAGAGGGCAAATTCTCTTCTCCCACCAGGCTGCAGCTCTGCTTGGGGCAGAGAGAGAGGGGCTGGAAGCAAAGGCTGGCAAAGCTCCCTGAGGCCAGCCCCTCTTCAGGAAACTGTCACAGCGATTTCCCTTGTAAGACAGCTGTTTCTTGTTGGACAGAAGCCTTGTTCAAGAAAAACACTGGCAATCTGACTGGCGCATACTCTTTAAGAACTGGACCTCAGGAACAGAAGTCCCTTTGAGAGTGTAGATCACACTAAAAAAGAACAGAGACCCTTAGCAGACTGTCACCCCCACAGCCTGATGGAAGAAGCTGTCGGTAACACATGTCGAGAAATGCTCTTTTAACTAAAAGGGGCTTCTAGCAGACGTTCCGTCTTATTCACCTAAAGAAGTCCAGGACTTCCATTGCCATATTTTTATGACCATCAGCTAATCTGCCCCAACCCCTCATCTCTCACCTTCCTCCTCATCCCCTTCCTAGGCCTGGAACTGGATCGGCAAGGCTCCTGCATGCTCCATCGCTTCTCTGAGTGCTCCTGTGCCTCCCTGTCTTAACTGAAACCTGGCTATCCCCTGATGTGACCACTTCCCATGAAATATTCTCAAAGAGAACCTGTTTTCTCTCTTCTAGTCCATGTCTCTCAGAGACCAGAAGAAGAATGTTTCCCCCGTTTCCATTGTAGTTTTAACATTTTTTTTCCTCCATTCTCTTTCAAACTCCCCAGATCCTTTGAAATTCATGCCATGAGCTCCTGCTATACCTCCTGGGTGCCGTCATCTTCAAAGCTTCTGATCGATCCTCCCTGATTCACTAATGCTTTGTCTAGCAGCTCACTGGCTTCCTCTCCAATCCCGTTCCTATAAACACTTACTAGGACTTTACATCCATATGGCTGACCAGGCAACCCTAGCCAGTCACTCCAGCCACCTCTTCCTCTACCCAACCCTAGCCGCTCTCTCCCACGTTCACAGCCTGCATCTTGTCATCATTGCTAATTATCCCACCACCAAACAGAAGAAATCAAGTATCACTTTCCGCTCCTTGCCTTCCAGCTCACTTCAGCAAGTCTTCATCTTCACTAAGACCTCCAACCACGGATCTGACCACATTTTTACCGCTCATCATCCTCTCACTGTGTTCACTCCCTTCTGTGGCCACCTAGTTGCCGTGACCCAGCACCTCCTGCCCCTGCCAACCCTGAGACTTGGGTCCACTCTTGCTTTTACGTACAACTAGCAAAATTTCACTCTCAGTTGACCCCGACTATATGCACTCTCCACGCCTGCACCCCAAGGAGCTGAATGTATCTCTGTAGAAAAATACCACACAACTGGGCTACTTCGCCTAACTTGGCAATCACAAACATGTTTTACTTGGCTTACAGGATGTTTGAGAATGCTGAAAACTGAGGAATTTCACACATAAATATGTATTTCCAGATTTTCTTGAAACATCAGTTAACCCCACATGGCAGCAACCACCTGAGTTGGATAACAGATGCTTCTCTTATAGCAAATAACACTGACACCAGTAAGTGTCGCACACTGTTCCATATCTACTCAACGAATTTAACCCTCAAAACGACTCTACAAGGTGGGTACTGATATCCTCCTCTTTACAGACGAGAACCCTGAGGCCCCGAGCAGGGCCCGCTCTCACACCAGTCAAGCCCATGCGGTCTGGTTGCTGGGTCCTTGCTCCACACAACTGCAGACTGGCCCTCTGTTTGCCACAGTCAACACCAGGGCCTCTTCACTCGCGTGTGCCACCTGCTCCCTTCCCCCCAAAAACCACACACACTCCAACCTCAGCCTCCCACCCTGGTCAATGGCAGCATCACCCATCCTGCTGCTCGACCCCAACGCTTAGGAGTCACCCTTCATCCCTCCCTTCGCCTCGGCTTCCGTGCTTCACCCAGCCACATGGCAGGCCAGTTCTGGCTCCGCCGCTGCTCTCCGTCTTCACTGCCAACACCCTTGTTCACGCCTCTTTTGTCGCCGGGTGTACTCTGATGGCCTTCTGCATGCTCTCCCTGCTTCCGCTCTAGTCTATTTGTCTTACAACTGCCAGAGAGATGTTTTTAAAGCGTAAAATAGATCATGTCTTTCTCCTGCTTAGTACCCCTCAGCGACTCCCCATCGCTCTTTAAACAAAAATCCAAATCTCCGGCAGAGCCCAGAGACCCTACGTGACGTGGCGGCCACCTGACTCTCCGACGTATTCCCATATCGTAATCCCCTCTGCTCGCCACGTCCAGCAGGCTCCCTTCTCAGTCCTCCAGGACGCCGAGCCGAGCCTTCTTCTGCTTGCTGTTCCTCCACTAGCCGATCTCTCCGCCTGTAACGTTCTTTTTCTAATTCTCCATAAGGCTGGCTCATTCTCACCGTTCAGACCCCGACTCGGAGACCACCTCCTCAGAGGTGAGTACAGCGCTCCTCACAGCTGTAACTTCCTCTTTATTTCTTTAGTTGTGTTTGCCTATCTCCCCCAGTGAATTGCCTCTCCGTTATATACTTGCTAATTAACAGGCAGTCAGGAAGTATTTGTCCAGCTAATTAATTTCTGCAGAGCTGAAGTTCTCCCACCCCCCTTAGCATTAATGTCATCTGTTCCTTCTAAATGACTGGGCAGTCCACTGTCGGGTCACCTCTCTTCTTCTCTTTAATTCACGCCCAAGTGTTCTCCAGCTGATATCACTCTTAACGAAAGGTGAAGGTCACCCTGCCCCGCCTTCCCAAACTAGAATTTCTTTCAAGGTTCAATAGCAGCTTTACACCAATATGCTATTCTAGAGGGAACTCCGACATGATGCCTCAGGCAGCTCTGCAGACTCGGCCTGAACCACCTTTAGACAAAGCATCATCTGGGATTGTGAAACCAAGCAATTCTACCATCTTCCTACCCATGTCACTCTGGTCATCACCACAAGCCTGAGCCCCTTCCAACACTGTCTAACCCATACTCTCATTTCTCTCAACATCTCCTATATCAATCTCCTGATATTGTATCTATAGACAGAGAAAGGACATATGTTCTTTAATGTGAGAACTTCTTTACAAAAAAAATTTCAAACTACATGTACATGATCAAGGGTTATTACCAGTCAGTTGAAACTCAGGAAAGAGATTTCTTTGGTCAGTATGGACTCCTCTTCTCCATTTAGGGTAAAACACCAATAAAATGTCAAATTTTTGGTCAAAGTATTAAAAACAAATAATATTATTCTATTCCTATTTTTAAAAACTCTTTAATATCTCTCAATAAAAGCTTCTCTGGATGGAGAGAAGGAAATGATGTCACAATATACTTGAGCCTAAATACGAAAGTTAACAAATGCTTGTAAGTCTATCTAATAAGTTTAATTTTCTCCAGCAGCATTCAAATATCTTTTTTGTCTAGCTTTTTACCTTACCCATCAAAGCCTGCTCACATAAAGTTTACATCAGAAAGCAGATGGACTCTGTTTCTCTGTCTATGAAAATCTTATTTACAGGGTTGGATATTTCACACAGCGACCTCATATCTGGAACCCATCCCTCTCTCCATCTGCAAAGAACTGCTCTCATCTGCAGAGGGAGGCTCTGGCTGCAGAGTCTCCTGATGTCACAGGCCAGGAGGGATCACTTAAGAACTGGGAATGAGACTTGTTATATTGATCAGCTCTTTATTTTTATTTTAATATCAACAAAGACTTGCTTCAGAAGCAAAAATTGATAGGAGGGAGCAAAAACTAATACCATTGCAGACTATCTCCCTCACTCCATCTATGTAAATGCTAGGACAAAAACTAAAGGCAAGTTTTCTTCCAAGTTGTAACACCCGAGGTTCCCCTCACTCTTCATCAAAGACAGTACCTTGACCCTTTATTTAGTCAGTAAATATTTATTCGATATAAACTTATTGAGCATCAATCAAATGGCAGGCACTGGGCTAATCTGTGGGACTGAGATATGACCCTGCCCGCAAGGAAGTGAACAGTCTGTGTGAAGAAACATAAATGTCAGAAGATGGTAATAGGTTTAGAATAAACAGTAAACCAAGAAGTCAGCTCCAGGAAAGTGGCAATGGCCAATCCTCCTTGGAGAATTAAAGTCAAGCTTCTCAACGGGGGTAACATTTACGTAGGGACTTAAAGTTCAAGCACAATTACATTAAGACAGCGGGAGACAGCATTCCAAGCACCAGGAACAGCATGTACAGAGTCACAGAGAAATTTAAGAGCAGAGTTTTTACAGGAAAAGTCTGAAAGTCAGGGTGAATGGAGCACAGCGTACCTGGAGGAGAATGTGGGAGATTAGAATGGGAAAGGCACACCGGGTCCTCCTGCATGGAACGAGATGAGGGCCAAGAAACTGTAGGTAAAATGAAGTTCAGTGTGTGGGCTGAACGGTAAACCGCAAATGAATGGGTTACGATTGGTCAAATGTCCAACTCATTCTAAGAGAGGCTTTGTCATAGAAATCTAAGGGAAGCTTCAAAAAGAAAAAGCCAATAGTACTTCTAAAGTCAGAAAGATCAACTCATTCATTAAAAAGTTTTCCATTCGAGAGTCTATATTAATCATATCTGCACTTGACTGCAGGTTCAATACAAAAAGGTGATAACAAGGAAGAGAAGATGACAGTATCTATTAATTGGCCAAATCGTCAGCCAAAAGCACAAACACAGAAGCTGGGCTCTCAGAATGAGAGAAAATGGAACACAGTCAACATTTTCAGTGAGCCAGGTAACACATGGAATATTTTTATACTAATCGAGAAATTATAGAATGTGCTTAATTCAGGGAATCTGTGGCCCTGCCTCCCCCTGCATCTCATTGCCTACTACCTGTCCCACGTTTCATGCCTAAGGAGACCTAAGCTGCCGTACTCCACATGGTTTCACAAGTTCACATTTCCATTAGTGCCGCTCCTCTCCATACCATCGTCCCATACACATATCGCTCATCTAATAAGTCCAAACTGGTCAGCCTTCAATACCCACTGCAGATGTCACCTCCCAGGTTCCCAGTTTCCCCCAACCGTTTTCCCATGCGCCCTGGTCACACTTTAGCTGAGCACTTACCCTTTATCCCTCAATCATCAGTCCACATGGCTGCCTGCGCCGCACTGGGCTGCGAGCTCCAAGTGCTGAAGGGCGGTCTCCTGCACCTTCGTCTCGACCCCCATGCACATGCTCCGACCCTAAACTGTTCCTGGCACACAGCAGATGCTCGATAAACATCTGCTGAGCCAAAGCACTGCACTTGCTTGTAAAAGTGTTTTGTAAACTATAAAGCACTCAACAAATATTCGCTACTGCTGTTTACTGTCTCCTTTTCAACCCTTCTCTCTGTCACTCAGCTTCCACATGCTCAAGGCAAACTGAACTATCAATGTGTCTTATGGCCAAACCCTGTTTCTCACTTCTGCCTTGGTAGCTCACACCAGTCCCTCCTTTTACAAAGCTCTTTCTCTTATCTTTACATATTTAAATTGCACCAATCCATGGCCTGGATCAAATGTGTCCCTTCCAATAAAACATCTCTAGACACTCCTAGCTGGAATTAACACTCCCTCCTCCCAAACCTCAGAGCGCTATGTCTGTCTCTGCTTTGTGGCACTTATTATCTCTAACCATACTGCAGGCCTAAAAGGGGGAAGCCCTGTTCTCGTTAAGTCATCATTTCTCTCAAAGGACACCACAGCGCAGAAAAATAACTGGTTTAATGAGTAAACAGATTACTTCCAATCCCACATACTCAAGGAAGAGCCTTCTAGGATGATTTAAGCACCTGGATAAGTGTTCCTCTCTTCAAACCTTCCGAAACATCCTCCTTGGACATGTAGGTTTCAAATATGCTCTTTTTCTTCCCTCGTACGGACTTGTTCTTTGACTTTTTGTCACCTGGCGAAGCACCAACACCATGTGGGCCAACCACAGAGGACACACCTAGAAACACGAGGCAGCGGTCAAGTCTTCCCTCAACCAAACATCTCTGTATTTTTTAAACTGGAGATATTTTACCTCTTTTTTAATTTAGAAAGATCAACAGGAAAATGAAACTCGCTCATAATGATTTCAAACAGTCACAAAAAGGAAAGAATGGGCAAGGAAAACAAATGTACACAGATGAGGCCTGAGTTTTAAATCAGCAACACGCTATGCATGGAACGTAATCTGAATAATGGGTTCAGTATGCTTTGCTTTATAGACACGAACTTTTTAAAAACAGGAATTACTAAAAGATTGCCACTTTTCTAGAGGAAATTAAATAGCTGTGCTCAATATAACAATAAATTAAGATGATAAGAAACCACACTTAATTCTAGAATAAATAACACTGGAGAATATTTAACAGGTCACCAAAAAAAATTACAGCCCCGCTCAGTCCTAAGACCCGCCCCACACCTCCACTCCATTTGTATGTCAGGCCTCCAGGTGCCAGGGTAGACTCCATTTTCCCTTTGTTACCTCTGGGGGTCCCCGGGTTCAGCCTGCAGTCAAGATGGCTCATCACTGGTTCCAAAAGCGCCTCTTCTCTCCCGATCCTGGGGGCCTCCACTGCTCAGCTCTGAGTTCTTCCTGCCTTGAGCAGCTCAGGTGTCACGAGCTGAAGCCAAAGAGAGATGGGTGACTAAAAAGCAATTAATCTATAGCCCCCTCTGTGCTCTCGGAAACTCAGTACTTGGATGGCAAAGGCAGTGTGGTACCCTTCCGTGGTCGTAGTGTCACTTCCTCCTGGGCAGTTAGCACCTATCTGTCTTGAGTTTCTTTTCAAGGCCTTCACCTTCACAGGTATCACCAGCCCGCTTGTCTGGGCCACTTCAACTAACAACTTCCACGAACACGGCAGTGACATGGAAATTAAGGAGTTCTGCAGTTCTGTCCAGTTTGTGAAATGCATAAGAGCAGAAAGGAACACATTTTTGAAAAATGGTATAAAGATCTAGAATCTGACAGCTATAATTAAATAAGTATTAAACTAAGGCTCAAGAGATGTGGCATTTACTAAGTTTAACCTTGACAAAATGACATTCATCTACAAAAACAAGAAGTCAGTTCCTTAGAATTCATCATCAAAACCTAATTCATAGCCACAATCTGATATCCAAAACTATTCAGGGAACCCCAGATGGGTCACTAGTTTCAAAAACTGGAAATACTGCAGTTAGACATCTATGTCCCTACTCTTACCTGCCATCATTTCAAACCAGTCATCTGGCCAGCAGCTCGAGAAGCTGCTTCTAAAGAATACGAGGCAGCTGCCTGGATGGGCGGACTGGAATGCGGGCGCTGCAGCTGGCCCCTGGCCTTCCACCTGGATACTGAACGTGTCGTCGCAACTTGGGCTTTCTACTCTCTGCTGGCCACCGGCCCAGGATTCAAGCCTATACACGCACATTTCCAAAGTCCTTTCTGCTTTCCCATAAAATGGATCAAGATGTCATTCTGAACACTAGCTTCCACTTCCTCTAAATTTCCCACACACATCTAATACCAAAATGATGTAATTTTTCTTTAAATTGAAACTAATGCTAACTCAGGAGAAGAGAAGCAACAGAGACAAACGGTAACGGGCCGCTTAGTGACACATGAGAGGATTCAGAGACAAAGCCCAAAGGCTGCGAGAAGGGAGAGAAGCAGATGGCCGGCGGGAAAGGCACGTACAGGCGTCCAGCCTGCCTGACGGTCTAGTTCAGAAATGCATCCATCCATTCATTAATCCAACGAACACTTCTGCAAGGCGCTGTACTAGGCACCATGAGGGATACAGAAGTTGGTTAGATTTATAAAAATCATGTTGAACTATTAACAATTAATACAAGTTGGGAAGTGATACCACTAAATTTTTTTTCTAAGTGCTAGTAAATGTACACAAGATGGAAGAGAAAGGGTACCTCCAGGTCAGGAAATCTCAGAGAGCTTCAGGAAAGACTTTAAGGAAGAACTGAATGTTAGGAAAGCATACTGCTGGCAAGAGAAAGAAAAGAGAGAGAGACTCAAACAGAAAAGCAGGCAGGTTCTTGCAACATTAATTCCATTTGGATAGAGGCCAGGCTATACGAAGGGAGGCGGTGGCAAGGAAATTAAAACAAGCTGGAAGATCTAGAAAACCGACCCAGGGCTGCAAAGGCAGCAGGGAGTTTCTGAAGCGTGAATGAGCAGAAGAACAAATCAGAGTTGTGTTTCAGGAAAAAATAACAGGGTACAGAGTAATCTGCAGTTGAGAAAGACTAGTGGCAGCCACACCTTAGGAAAGAACTAAAACAGACGAGGGGAAAGGAAGGCCTGAGCTAGAGTTATACATGCAGACACTGAAACAGAGATCTTTAACATGATATCACACAGGACAAACCACCACCATTTGGCAACCAGGCATATCTGGAAGACAGCGAGGAGACTGGGAGATGATAACATGACTAAGAGAAGATGATGAATTCTTCTTGGGGTATTATGTACCTCTACGTGGAAATACACACTTTTATATATACTTCCACACATGGAAATACATCTCTCTACCTATAGCTCAATAAGTACCTCTACCTATATCTCCAGGTGGAAATACGTACCTCTACCTATACCTCTAACCAAATATTTGGAAACTAGAGCATAATTTAAGAGAAATTAGCCAGTCATTTGCATAAATATGGTAACCCAAAGTTTTCTAGAATGGATGAGATTTTCAAGAAAGGGTAAGCCGATACAGAAGAGGGCCTAGGACAAAATCTGGGTTAGGGTAGCTTTGAAGAAATGCAAAGAGGAAGGAGTAGAAAATATAACAAAGGAGTTAATAAAGATGTAAGAAAAGAACCAACAGACTCAAATGTTAAAAAAAAAAAAAAGGGGGCGGGGGGAACAACTTCCAAAGGAAGACAGGTTCAAGATCAGGGTTTGCACGCTACTGAGTAAGAATACAAATAATGGCAGCCTTGGGTGGAGCAAGGTTTGGGGGAAAACTGCAAGCAAGAGAAAGCCAATCTGCAACAAGAGTCATATTTGAAAAAGGGGTACTTCATATCAAGTCTTGATGTCGGCAAGAGTTCGAAATTAAGGGGAGTTACTGCCAGTTAAGTGAGATGGAGGTACAGGGATCTTGACTCAAGCGTCCCTAGGTCGGCTGCATCTGTAACTTTCCTTCACAGCAAATATCAGAGTCGTATTCCAATTGGTATGATTGACACCTGTCTCTCTAGCTCAGGAAGACAAGCAAAGTTCTGTTGGGTTCATCATTACAACCCCACTGGTTCCCACGGTATCTAGGTACTCGATAATCACCCCTTAAATGACTGAATGAGTTTTTTTTCATGAACAAGCAGTGAGAACACCAACAAAGCAGGGTCACTCAGGGAAACCATACCAAAAACAACTCAGCAAAGAATGGGAAAAGAACATAGGACCCAGGAAACAATTTTGGCAAAAATAAGCCAGATGGCTGGGCAGGAAGTCAAAGCTTGCCTTTGGGTATCAAAACAGTGGAAGATGGAAAGATCTCAAGTATACAAGATGCTAAGCAGAAGATGAGTAAACAGGCAACCTTCTCTTCTTAGTGACATAGTTGTACAGGCCCATTAACCCTGGACAAATCCTGGGCACTCCTACCTTGACACAATGAAAGTACCAGTCGATTTCTAATCCTCGCCAGCTTCCAGAATGAGGGCACTGGTATATGGCCCGACTGCCCGCTGGCTGCCAGAAAGGCTGTTTTACCACAGAAACTGCTGTACGTTCTGAGGAGCTGGGCTGGGAGCATGAACAGGGCAGTAAGAGTGTCACACGGTACAACAAGCACGAATGCGGAGGAAAGGGGGAAAGGCACTAGACTTGAAGAAAGCAAACATCTGGGTGAAAGAAGTGGCGTCTTGAGACCCTTTATATTCCCCAGACCAGCACAATGCATAGTGCAAAGCAGGCGATCACAAAATTTAAATAAATGAAGCCTATTTGGGACAGAAACCAGGTTACAACAAATGTATGCTAATGAGAAATGTAAGTAGCAGGGCCAGAATTAGGGTGAGGCAAGCCAGGTACCTAGGACATAAAATTTACAAAAGCAAAGTCATACAAATGCCAGCCCCATACTTGGAGGACTTCAAGAGTGAGTGTCTCCATAAACGTTTGTGCCCTTGGCGTCTCACTTGTCTTGCCCTAGTCTTGGCCCTGATGAGTAGAAAAAGCAGATGAAATTTATGAACCTAAAGAAACAAACGGAAACTCAAGTTGAAAGGTAGAATAACTAAAATGAAAAATTTACTAGAGGGGCTGGTCATCAAATTTGACACAGCAGAAGAAAGACAGCAGAAGAAAGAATCGATAAACCTGGGGAAAAAATCAATCAATATCATCCAATCTGAAGAAAAGGAAAAAGAAATGAAAATTAAGAATTTTTTAAAAATCCAAATCCAGAACTTGTAATAAAGAGTCTGGCTCCAATTTTAGACATTTAACCACTGACTTACTTTAAGCCTCATCTCCCCCTGCCCCTTTGAGCTATCTGGACAGGTTGACAACAAAAATCCACTGTGTCCCCACTTTGGCCCTAACGGGAAACTCGAATTTTGCAAATCCCCCACCTGCACATGGAAACTTCTCTCCAGTCCCCTAGCCATCATAAAGGCCTAACCTACTCCTTTGTCTTGGCTCAAGCCAGGCCAGACTGGCTTGTACCCACCTTATCTCCCCAAGAGTCTCTTGGGTGAGTAATAAATTCTCTCTCAAATTTTCTTAGTGTATGGAGTGCAATCAGCATAAACATCCTACTAATTGGGAAGTGGCCCATTCCACCTCCACAGGGTGACCACAGAACAGGAATGAAAGGGGGGACATCTCTCCTCACCTACAGAAATGAAAAGGACTACAAGGGAATACAATGAACAGTTCTACGTCACTAGACAACTTAGATGAAATGGACAAATCCCTAGAAAGACACAAATTACTAGAGTTGACTTAAGAAGAATAGAAAATTTTAAATTAAATTAAATTAGTAATTTAAAATCCTCCAATAAAGAAAAGCCCAGGTAGCTTCACTGATGAATTCTACCATGCATTAAAAGAAAAAAATAATACTAATCCTTTACAAATTTTTCCAAAAAATAGAGGAAACATCCTCCACTTATTCTATGAAGATAGTATTCCCCGATACCAAAGGCAGACAAAGACATCACATGAAAAAATTACTTTTTAAACATAGTTTGGATTTTTAAATTTCTTCTTGGGTCAGCTTCGTTAATTTGTATTTTTCTGGGGATCTGTCAATTTCATGTAAAGTTTCCCTTTTTTGGGGGGGGCAGAATGTTGTTCAAAATATCCTCCCGATTATCTTTTTTTATTGAAATTATTGGAGTGACATTGGTTAATCAAATCAAATAGGTTTCTCTCCTGATTTTCTTAATACCTATAGCAGTGCTGTCCTTTCTGACAGGATGAAAATTTTCAATTATCTGTGTTATCCAATATAGTAGCCACCTACCACCTGTCTTTTGAGTATCTTAAAGAGTGGCTAGTACAACTGAGAAACTGTCAAGTCTGAAAAGTTTGTATTTCATCTTTATTCTTATAGGATATTTGTGCAAGGTTTAGAATTCTAGAGTATCAGTTATTTTCTCTCAGTAA